AGAGAGACAGAGAGAGAGTTTTTTGTTTGTTCTTTTGAGACAGGGTCTCCCTGTAGCCACAGCTGGCCTGGAACTATGTAGACCAGGTTGGCCTTGAGCTCACAGAGACCCATCTGCCTCTGCCTCCCAAGTACTGGGATTAAAGGCATGTGCTACCATTCCTGGCTAGACTAGAGATATTTTTAATGGCATTTTAGCATGCTTTTAAAAATTCATCTCTGGACCTATCTACCTACCTTAAAAGCAAAGACTCATAAATCCTAAGATTCAGTTTTCCCCACTGCTTCTTTTCCACCTATAACTAAATTGCGCTTAAAAGAGAAGGACCTAATCACCGGAGTGCTGTGGGGAGAAGATGGGTGTGGTTGGGGGAAAAACACTATTAGGGAATACAAACTGTACAAAATAACTTTTAAAGCAAAATACATGATTTTTTTCTTTTCTTTTACATAGAACTTGTGGCAAAACCCATGGCCTTTCCTTGTTAGGCAAGTGTGCCACCACTGAGGTACATCCCCAACAAAAGACAAGAATTCTTGATTACTAGGACTTTTAAGCAAATAAAGCATTACATACCTCATGTTTTAAATCTATTGTAAAGTCAGATTTCAGGGATTCGCTCTTTAGTCTCTTGGCAAGCCTAAAAAATAGAGATATTTGATATTTTCTAACATGAAGAAATGTCAAACAAGCATAACTAATTCCTGAGGCTTTCTAGTATTTGAAAATAAATAAAATATAAGTTTTAAGATAAAAATAAGAGTTTAATTTTCTTGAGGAAAAGAATTGAGAAAATGAAATGTTTTGTTGATAATACATAAATGAAAAATGTCTTGGAAATGAGGTATTCATTATTTCAACATCTGCTCATAACATAATACAATATAATATTATACAATACGATACATAAATACCTTAGGGTGGTGGATGGGGGGGACACGACTGATAATTTTACACTAAATAATGCCACCATGGAATAGGGAAACAAGAAAACAGCACATATGGCAGAGAAATAAAATTTGCTACTGTTAATAATCCTAATGAATTAACAGGTTGTTGAATCTTTAGGGGGACAGACAGATCATAAGATTTTGGGGGAAAAGGGTTTTCTTTCAAGTCACTTTTTTTCCGTTAAAAAATTCCTTCACCACTCCTTTCCCACATACAATAAAGCCCTACACTCCTGGTCAGCCTGAAGGGCTATGCATTCCTCTACCATCTATGGTCTCAGTCCTCACTTGCCACTTTTAGCACATGCCTCCCTGCCTCACCCCAGTCCTTTCCCACTGCACATCTGCCCAGTATGTCTATATCCAACCTTTCCTTAGCAACCTTTTCTTCTTCAGAACTAAACTTCAGGGGTCTTCTCTGGAAGGCTGTACCAGACTTGCCCACCAGAATGGAAACTTTCTCTGATCTCTGAGCACACAGCACAGTCCTGTCTCATCCATTATAATCACATTCAGTCCCTCCCTGCTATGCTTTCTTTATATCCAGAGCAGTACCAGGCACACCTGGACCAACGAGCACTAGGAGGTCCAGGATGGATGAGGGTGATGCAGTCTTTAATTCTAAGCTGACTGTGATAGAATTACAAACTTTCAAGATAAATTAATCTGAAAAAAATTAAAATAAATAAATAAATTAATTAATTAATACACACTTTAATTACAAAGAAATAACAGTGATTTTAAAAGAGTAATAAATATCAAATTTTTGACCCAGTTTTGTTTTTATTATATCTTAGTTTGGTTAGGCCAGGAAAGATTTTTTTTTTTTTTTTTTAAATCACTTTTCAGACATCTGGGAATATAATTCATTGGTAGAACACTTTGTCTAGCACACATAAGGACCTATCCTTTATTGGGGGTGGTGGGGGTTGGGAAGGTCTCTTCCTAAAGAATAGCGTAGTGGTTACTAGAGTTAGGGAAGAGTAGGAGAGAGGTAAAAGAGTTGGTTAACAGGTGCAAAAATACACTGCGTACACTTATATAGGAGGATTGGGTTCTAGTGTTCTAAAGCAATGACTATCATATGATTCATAACAGCTAGAAATGAGGATTTTGAATATTTCAATATAATGACACAGTAAATGTTTAAGGTAACGGGCATGACAAATTTTACTTTGATGGTTATTATAGATTATATACATACACACACACACATACACACATATATATATATATCACACCATACCCCCAAATATATATGTATAATTTTTACACATCAATTATATTTTTATTTTAGTTTTAAATTTTTTTTTTGAGGTAGAGTCTCCCTGAAGTCCCACCTGAACTGGAACTCATTATGTAGATCAGGCAGGCCTCCATCTCACAGAGATCCACCTGCTTCTGGGCAGGGAAATTGGGAAATTTCCTCTGCTGGGAAATTGATCCAACCAAACTTAGGATAAGCACTCACATTTTCATGGTCAGGGGAAAGGTTCTCCATTGTTGGAAATAAGTGGGAAATATGTAGAACTTATTTTCTTGAAACCATAAAAGAAACCATATTTAGGATAAAGTGATACTATGTGTATAGACAGGCAACAGAGACAGAAAACCTAGCTCTTCTGTAGCGCCACTGAACTCTTTCATCAACCAACCATAGACCTCATCTCCAATTATGGCAGAAACATTTCCTTAACCCAGTTTGAGTTATTTCCTGTGACTTACATCCAAAAGTATGCTAACCAATACAGTTCCTAATGACGGGAAGAAATAAAGTCAGTGCATTAGCTTTGGAACTGGGGAGAGCAAACTGAGTGGATCCAATTTGCAGTCAGTAAGGCTAACAGATGTTTTATTTATGACTCCTTTTAGTTCTAAGTATAATAACAATTTCTCATAGAATAAGAATCTCCTCTTAGAAAGCAAGTTTTAGATATGTCTTGCCACAGATAGTTGCTATGTTTGGTGGGTTACATTATTTTATCTGTTTGATTACTTGTCTGCATCAGGGGAAAATGAAATAGAGTCTATAAAGTAACTAGAATTTTGAATTTGTTACTATGGTAGCGTCTACATATTTGTTTGCTTTGCTGGCAGAGAGGGAGAGAAGGTAGGGAGAAGACCATGGATAGTAATTAACTAAAGCATGCTTATTTTGTTGGTCATTCTTCAGTGTGGTAAAGAACAGATGACACTGAATGCAGAAGGTCCTCTGGTACCGTGTTTCCCTATCTTTTCAGAGTTACGGGGGAAGTAATGGGAATTTTCTTAACATCATGTCAAAGATTAGGCTCATGGCCCTAATTCTTTATCTATGTTCACTATAGCTTTGGAAGAATGTTTGTGTGCCCTTACATTCATACACTGACATTTGTCTCCAAAGGTAATATTATTAGGAGGTGGGGCTTTGGGCTTAGGGGAAGGGGGTGTTGAGTAGATCATGGGGCAGAGCCCTCGTAAGGAGACTCATAACCTTAGAGAAGAAGCCCGAGGGAGCTTATGTGCTCTTCATCCATATGAGGACACTGTGAGGAGGTGTTAGCTATATATGAGCTAGAATGCAGTCCTTGACAGCCACTGAAACTGCGAGTTCCTTGATCTTGGACTTCCTATCCTCCAGAACTCCGAGTTCTTTTCTCACTCATAAGCTACCTTGTTTGTGATATTTTGTCATAACATACTAAGTAAGATACCTACATACCCAGCTACAGAGATAAAGCCCTTGGTTCTCACCAATTTCAGTAGAAAATATTAAGCTTGACCCAAAAAGGAGATCTGAGGTACTATGGAAGCTGTGCACTTGGCTGTCACCCTAGTCAACAGATGTGTTTAGTGATTTCACAGACAAAACAGGGAAAGGAGTCTGAACTTGTGGTCTCAAAGGGGCTCCAACTCACATTTCTATGGGAATGCTGCATTCCATACTGCGAAGGCTCCCCTGACAAGGCTCCCACCTGGCTACTGCACAGCCTAATTGGCACCAAGAAGTCTGCAGGGGATTCTCTGCTACAGCAAGATGGGGAAATGCCATAGACAACCAAGAGTTGTTTCAGGACAAGGTCTTGTGGATGGAGGGCAGGTATAAAATGCCTTGGTGAAAAGGTTCTACCCCGGGCTGCAGTATGGGATCTGCCTGTGTTCCCTGGCTTGAGCCCTGGGGAAGCAGCAGCTGAGGGCCTTTCAGCACTGGATGGCTCTGCTTCTTCCATTTCAGGTGAGAGCTCTGCTTATTCTACTCTCCAGAGAGTTGGACTGTTAGGAATGGGAGAGAAGCAGGCTTACAAAGAGCTGGAAACACCCAACTCAGAAACTGTAGCCACACAGGACTTTTCCCATGCAAAAGTCAGAGAGAGGGAAGGGACTAGAGAAGCCTCTAAGCACGGAACTGGGAAGCATTCTGCAGGGGCAAGAAACAGCACCCAAACCATGCATTGGAGCTTCTGTTTTTTAAGCATCCAGACTGAACAACAATAGCTCAACTCAACCCCAAACACAAAGCCCAGTCCTGAGGGCTCCTGGTCTTCAAGTTACAGTAAACCAGCGCTGGGCACAGCAGCGTACATCAAGGAAGACTAGAAAACACAGGAGGTAACCTAGAAGAAAAAGACAAATCCTGGGCACATATACCGAACCAGGAATAACACCTAAGCAGACCAATAATGAGCACAAAGACTGAACCAACAGTAACAGTAACAATAAACAACCACTAAAAAAATAGTTAATGACCAAATGGCTTCACTGCTAAGTCTTACCAAATAGTTAAAGAAAAAAAAATTCTTTTTTTAAAAATATTTTATTTATTATTTTTATTTTATGTGTATTGCCTACATGGAGGTAAGCGCACCCATGTCATGCAACACACACGTAGGACAGAAGAGGCTGTTGGATCCCCTAGAACTGGAGTTATGGACAGTTAACTGCCATGTGGATGCTGGGATTCAAACCCAGGTCTTCTGCAATAACAGTCAGTGTTCTTAACTGCTGAGCCATCTCTCCGGCCCAAAACTAATTCTTAAACTAGTCTAAAAGAACTAAAGAGGAGGAAAATCTCCTAAATTTTTTCTATTAAGTCAGCATTATCCTGATACTAAAACCAGACCAAGGACACAACAAAAAAGCCAGCTATGGCCAACAGCTTGATTAACACACATTCCAACCAGGCACTAACAAGCTGCATTTCAGAGTACATTAAAAAGATTATTCACCATGATCTAGTGGAATTCATCTCAGAACACAATGATGGGTCAACACACACAAATCAATAAACATGATGTAATACATCAATAAATGCAGTAGAAAAACAAGTGGTCATCTAAGTAGATGCATAAAAGGCATTTGATAAAAATCCAACACCCTTTTATGATGAAAGCTGAAAAACAGGTATAGAAGGAATGTACTTCAAGATAATACAAGCCATATATCATGAACAACTGACATAATACTGGGAGAAAAGTTGAAAGCTTACTATTGATAATCGTATGCTAAGATATGGTGGCAACCTAAGTGCCCATCAACTGATGAAAGATAAAGAAAACATAGTACACTTACACCATGAAATACAATTTAGCCATGAAAAGAAAGAAGCCTGTTAGTTCTGACAAAATGAATGGAACTGCGGAAAACGGGTTAAGCAAAATCAGCCAGGAACAGAAAGGTAAGTACCACATGATCTCACTCAAGTTGCTTATTA